TTATTTTCCTTTCTTTTTTTGTGATACCAGGTATTGAATTTAGGACCCTGCTCTTGCCAGGCATGCACTTATTCTACTGAGCTATCTCCCCAGCCCTGAGATATATAAATTTGATGAATACCAAACCTGAAAGAATCACATTAGATACACACAAATACACACATACTGGCTTCAGCATCTACATAGCACTGGGGAGCTAGGTCAGTGTAAACTGGATAAATGTGGTATGATAGATATTCATCCTATCTTATTAATGTAATGGTCCTTGAAGTTTTGTGGAAAAAAAAGTGGACTAAACTTGTGTGACACATCTCACAGTGATTGAACAGATGTCTGACCATGCCCAATGCTATAATTTTTCAAATTGTATATGATTAAGTAAAATACTTGTTATTAGATGAATTTTGCCATGTATTTCCTTTCTTGGCATGTAGCAAACACAGTCAGCAAGGGAAATGGAGGAGTAAATTTGATGCCTACTCTATCACTTAAACTTCTGAAATTAACTGTTTTATTTGATTACAATTGTTTAGTAAGAAAATCCTTCTCACGTACTCAACCCACTTCTTTCATTTTTAAGATGTACTTCAACTCCACATTAACTGATTCCTCTAAGCTTCTGAAACCTCTCTTGGTTTTTACATTCATCATCTGTGGAATCATCTGTGGGCTGACACGGATAACTCAATATAAGAACCATCCAGTCGATGTCTACTGCGGCTTTTTAATAGGAGGAGGAATTGCATTGTATTTGGTAAGTTACTATTATTATTATTATTATTATTATTATTATTATTATTTGATGAACCACAATTTATAAAGAAAAATTCATAGAATATTCTGCATTCAAATTAATGTAATCACAAATATTTTATATTTGTGAGAAACCCTCTGGCCACATCTCTACTTTATTTAATTTTTTTTAATAATTCACATCTTCACTTTATTTGCAACTACATAAACCACTTGCAATGCAACAATTTATTGAATTCTTACTATGAGTCAAAATAGTGATATGAGAAGAATCACTGTGTTTTATCCTTAGAGCAAGTCAGAGGAGGTGGGGAAGAAGGGAGAAAAAGAAAGAAAGGCTCTAATTATTAACACAGTCATTTTACAAATGGGAAAAGTGAGTATTAGTGAAAATAATGCTAATGAAAATGAAAAGTGTGCATAATTGAGAGAGGGTGCACAATTTGCCCAACACAAACGTAGCAACAGAATATAGCTACATTCCAACTAAATGTAAATTCTTCAACAGTTTCATACTTTCAAATCTGATCTCTGAAATAAACAAATGCAGCATAAGAAAATTGAGATTGTCCATATCATTCAGTCATTTTACATTTATTCAACATCTAATTTTGCCAGGCACAGCCTAAACAGCCAAAGAGTAGAAATTAAGATGCGTTTTGACCAGTGCAAAAACTAACAGATACATGGCTATGATGTGTTAAATGATGTAATATAACACAAAAGGAACTTTATGAATAACAAACTGTCTAAAGAATAGAGAACGGCCTTTATGAAACTGATATATTGTTTTAAGAATGAAAAACTGATAGGAGATGATACAGGAAAAAAATTAGTTGCTGATAGCTGCATTTGAAAATGGCATTAGAGAAAAAGATGTAAAAGAGTAGTAAAAGTATAAACTGTACAAAGATTTACTTTAGTAGAATCAAAATTGTCACTTTAAATCTTACACTTATGTGATCTCTTTACTGGAGGAGAAGGAGTCATGTGAAAGACAGAGTGGCAGAAATAGTATGTAGGCTTGGGTTGTCATGGGAATCTTAATTGACAATGAATGTTACAGGAGAAATAAAAAAATTGAAAACTTCTCTGAAAGTTTGTGTTTTGCTTGTGTGTGTTGAAATCAGTGTTGTAGAGTTTGCATAAAAAGATTAAAGGACTTGAGTATGAATTTTGATGTTCTTGCTAACTGGCCAGCTTATGTAGCCTTTTAGGAGTCTGTTTCTTCATAGATAAAATATTGCTGTTTGATTCATATTATAAGAACTAAACAATTATGTCACCATATGTGGCCATGAATGTTGAAAAGCAGAGTCATAGCTCATAGGCTCTTGGAAACTTTACTCAAACTCATAATTTGAAGTAAAAAGTATTAATAGAAATTTGGCTATTCACTCTGGTGAGCTCTGATGGTAAAACCTTAAGACATATTGTGTAAAAAGATTTTCACCAGAAATTAAAATAGCTAGAGATGCAAGACCTTGAAATAATTTCATTCCTGCTTGCACTCTCTGCTCTGAAATTGGGAATTGATGCTGTCTAAACTCATGCTGGTGTTTATTACAAGAATTCATAAAATGTTAAATCTATGAAATTTCATTGCTTACACTTAAAATGTAGGCAGTTGCTACTTTCTACTGAAATTAGCACACAAGTTGATATCTGCTTCTTGATCTCATCTCTAACTTAAGAATTCTTTTTTATTATTATTTTATTTTTTCCATAATTTTATTGACAGACAAATAGCAATGAGACAGTTTCAAATCAAATTGGAAGGACAGTTTCAATAATTAATACACTGCATACATTCTTTTTTTTTTTTTTAATTTTATTTATTTATTTGTGTGTGTGTGTGTGTGTGTGTGTGGCCAGCTCAGCCCACTAGGGGGCTGGGTTGGCTGGCATGTGGTGCTGGGGGATTGAACCGCAGTCCCTGTGCTTTGCGAAGCTTGTTCTAAGTAGGTGCTTTAGACCACTGAGCCATCTCACCAGCCCCACTGCATACATTCTTCCTAGTGGTTA